CCATCCATCCATCCATCCATCCATCCATCCATCCATCCATCCATCCATCCATCCATCCATCCATTCATCCACTCATCGTTTTTGAAACCGAATGTCACTTTTTTCTATCGTTGTTACAGCATTGCAAAAGGAAGTGAACAGCAAAGGCCTGGAGAAGAGTAAGTGAAGCTCGTTTGGATGCATTTTCGTGATATAAATACGAAGGTAGCCATGATGGCAATGACAATACAACCGTTTTACATAAGAAATAATTCATTTCTCAATAGCAAAAGATTTTATTGTTCTGCCATCTAATCACAGGCCGCCCAAGCTGCATCATGGGCGTGGGCACGTGATGGTGTAAAACCTGTGCGTTTCTAAAGGAGACTCTGGGTACCCTGTGGTAACCTTGCCATTACCACAGGCAGCCCACTTACAGAGTAAATACTTGTGTCATACTAAATGTGTGGTTATTTGTTACCAGTTATTTTGTGTTGCTGATACTCACAGATGGTATCATATCGGACATGGAGCAGACTAAGGCAGCCATTGTGGAGGTATGCCTGTTTCAATTCTACCTCTTCCTTTATTACAGCATTCTTGTAGATCAGCAATTAAGCTTTCCCAGTCCTGAAATGGCTTACTATAGATCTGAAGCAATCAGAGACCAGAAGCACACCATCCAATCACAATATAATTAATGCTTGAACATAAAGAGATTTTATGTTTTAACTTCGTGATGACGTAATAAACTTTTGTTACCCGGATCTAATTCAACCAGAAACCACTTAAGAAGCACACACTGTCAAATCACAATGCGTGGAAACGCAGCCTTAAAATTTCAAAAGACATCTGATGACGTTATAAATGTGTGTAATCCGGAAGTGATTTTAACACACGTTACTTCACTCTTCATAGCCTTATTAACCAAGAATATTTACGTTGTGAGTCTTTCGTTTGGAGAGACACCCCTTTTGTTTTAGGTCTGTTTATGGTTTTATTTATTTTTATTATTATTTCTGTTTCATTTCATTTCATTGAACTTCATTTTCCCCCCTTCTTTATCGTAGGCGGCATCTTATCCCATATCAATCATAATCGTCGGTATAGGACCTGCAGACTTCGATGGTAAGTTCGCTTGAGCTCAACTATTGTCAAGTATTGCTTGTTTGGAGGAAATAATGCTGAGAGGAATGTGCAATGGAAAATGGTCATGTTAGACTAATAATAGACCTTCACTTAAGAGTGTAATGTTTTCCCATTTCAGACCAATTTTCATTCTCTTGGGAATAAGATTATTTGTTTGAATCGCATCCATATTCTTCTTATGCGCAACCGTCGTGGAAAAACGAGAGGCTGAATCAGGGGACGAAACCAAAAAAGATAGCTTTTCCAGTTTAAATTTTGTACTTTGCGTTTCTTTGTTTGTTTGAAATCTCCATGGATACGGCGTGCAGTGCGTGTGCGCCAGCGCAACTTTGTTGGACGTGCTGTCCAAACGAACGCAACATTGTTGGGCTACGCTTCGATGATCGCGAAACAAAAGAAATGTTGGCACTTGTTGGCTCAAAAGTTTGACGAGTTTCAAACTTCACCCAACAACATCCAACAAGTCCCAACAACACGCAACATGGTGTTCAAACGCTCCCAACATGTTGGTCCCAAGAATGTTGCATGTTGTTGGCCAACAATGTTGCGCTCGTTTGCTCGGGCTTTTACCATTCCAAGTATCATTTCTTTGTTTAACGGGTGCGCATTGACGCGTGGTCTTAAATGACGCCCAAGCTAAAGAGGGCCTTTAATATTTTCATTAATATTTCTTAATTCTTTTCAGCAATGGAAGAATTAGATGGCGACACAGTGCGACTTTCATCACGTGGACGATACGCCGAGAGAGATATCGTACAAGTAAGTTAGTTCAATGCTTTATTTTTTTAAGCATCAGTTATCTTAAAATATATATATATAAATTGGTATGCCGGATTTCTTTCTACGGGCAATCTTCGACTGAAAACTGAAATGAAATGATTCAGAAAAAATCGTTTCAAAAAAATTTTTCTCAGAAGATATTTTTTAATTTGATTTCAGTTTGTTCCTTTTCGAGATTATCTTGAAAACGGCGCTATTGCCCAGGATGTTCTTGCCAAAGAAGTTTTAGCTGAAGTCCCAGACCAGTTGCTCTCTTACACGAAAAGTCGCGGCCTTAAACCTAAACCAGTCAATACCCGTGCTTATCAATGTCGATAATTTCTATTGGTAGATTAGCAACCAATAGCATTGCAATATAGGCTGTCAATCAAAGCTAAACCGGCCAGTCAATAACCGTGCTTATGAATATCGATAATTGCTTTTGGTAGATTAGCAACCAATAGCATTGCATTCTACGCAGTCAATCAAATCTCCTCAATTAGTCAAATTCCGCTACTATTAGTAGATAAGCAACCAATAGCAGGGCATTATAGGCTGCCGATCTTATCTCAATCAATCATCGCCCGCTCTTATTGGTAAACTAGCAACCAATAGCTTTGCATTATATGTGTCAATCACACAATCTAGTTATCTCTTAGTTCTATTGGTATCCAACAGTACGACATCATATTGGTAGTGAGCTTACTAACAATATACTCAGACTAACTCGTAATACACGAAGCATCATATATGCATACATTGAAACCAAAACCAATGCACACTCGGTCGCAGTAATATCCTCTATTTGAAAACACGTACTTGTTAATAAGAAAGGGGTTACGACATGATCATGGTCATCACTTCGAACACACAATTTCATTCGTTCATTCATAAACTACTTTAATCGATGCACTGGTCAAGCACCAAGCATCAATTGATCTCTTCAATTTCAAGGGATACCACACTTGGATTATTGTTAACAATATTTTTGTGTTTTTTTTAATAAAATAATGTTCGGGGTCATAGCTAAACCAATACCTATTAATTAGGACCCTCCATACAGTGGTTCTTATGAATGTCTCGATAATCTTACCAATATTTCATTTATCTTAAAAAACTGAACCTAAAAACCATGCACAAGGGGCAAAAGTACTCGACAAAATACTCGCGAGTAATTTTACACACGACAAAATAGTTCCACTTAAAAAGGCAGCCCACCAATAGGAACTCAGCTAGTGAATCGAAATTAAAACATACCACAATCGGGGGGGGAGGGGGTGGGGGGACTTTGGACTTTTTTTTAACATGGAAACAAAAATGGGTCATTTGGCTAGAAAATGTCAACGAAAATATGAAAATAATGTGGTTAATATAATCGTAATACGCTCGTTTATTTGGCGTAAAGTTTTATTGTTATTACGAGTGGTTATCTTTCAATTTAAAGGTGCAGTTTATGACGTGCAAATTAAGTTACTTATCACTGCGTTGATTCAATTTGTATCAATTTTCTTACATAATTTATCATGTGTGTACAAAATATCGTACACCTATTCTTGAAAAGAGTAGACGATGAAAATATGCTTAAGGGTAAAAAATATGCCTACATGGCGAAATAAAATAAATGAGGTGTAATGTATCATAAACTTCTAAAAATAAAAAGGTATATTTTAAATATTTTAGTGTTCAATAGAGGCTTTTGCACCATCACGTAATGGCAGCCATGACAGGAGGCACGACAATAGAGAGTTTTAGATTTACGTTCACGGCAAACGTGAAACGTCAATTGACCAGTAAAAAATTCTTTTAAATTACTGGAAAAGAATCGCAAAAAAGTCCAAGTAGTAGAAAAACAAAAGAGTATTTGCTCTTGGTGAGAAGGTTTGTAAAAGGTAAAGTAAAATACACGAAAACTATGAAAACGTGGTCACGTTTACCGTTTGCGGGGAGAAAAAAAAGTCAATCTAAAACTCTCTAATAGTCTTTTTTCCCCTGGGAAACTGAATTCTTTCTCATGTAAATCAGATTCGACTAGATTCAATTGTTCCTGCCTCCTGACATGGCTGACATCACGTGATGATGCAAAGCCTCTATTCCAGACTGATTCCTGTTGATGACGTTTACACAGCCGCTATTTTGAATATTTTTACCTAACGATTTCAGTGCCTGTTTTTTCTTATGTTCTCTCATCAAACAAATATAACACTTCTCTTTATCATGAGTTCTCTTGGGAATGCTTGCAGCAAAGGACTTCAACTCAGTCTCATTCCACTTATCATCTTCCATCTGTATGAAAGCCACCTAGACGTATAGTTTTGAATTCAGGTATCCAGCCAGTCATGGTCGTACGTGTAATCCATTAACCAGCGACTACGTCCACTCTTTAGACAGATTAAGCATCACGTTTTTCCTTTCCACAAACGGCAGACATGACCACGTTTCCATAGTTTCCTTGCAATTTCACTTAACCTTTTACAAACCCTGTCACTAAAGACAACGTGTTCTACTACTTTTTCCGCTAATCGTTTCACGAATTCTGAAGAACTTTTTGCCGTAAGCGAGATGCTTAAACTCTGTTTTATCTTTTCAGTTCGTTCCCTTCCGAGACTATCTCGATAAAGGGTTTAAAGGCGACGTGTTAAGTGGGGCACGATTGGCTAAAGACGTCCTTGAGGAGTTGCCAGATCAGTTCATTGAGTACATGAAAAAGAGAGGAATAAAGCCAGGACCACTTACGCAAGTATAACAATAAGAATTATCATCCAGACTCTTGATCCATAAATATAAAGATAACACCATTTTATATCAAGTTGACACTTGACACTCACATAAGAGCACAACTGTTAGAGCAATCAAAACTGCTTTTAAATATTCTTTGTCTGCAAAGTTACGAGCAACGCCATCAAGTCAGTCCAATGGCAAAACAGACCAAACCGTAGATTGGAGTAATTTCTCACCGGACTCGGAAGATGACTTCCGCTCTGGTTGTCGAAACGTCAGTCACCACAAGACTACACTCACCCGGACGACTACAGTTATGTCTCTAAGAGTCTCTAGTTAAGACAAATCCCTACAAGCTGGCCATTTTACGTGGTTATCCATGCTACAGCGAAGGTCTAACCACCCGTAGATATTCTAAGGAACGACGGGACCTTCGATAATCTTTTGAGTGCATCTTCTTTCAGAACTAGTTATCAGTCAGTTAACGGTGTCACCTAGTGTCCCTCTATTTAGCTCAGTTCTGGATTTTTGTTTCAATCAATTTTGAATATTAACGAATGTAAACTGTAAAATCTAAAATTACGTCTTAGAGTTTGCTATTTGGAGATAAGTCTTAGTTAAGCTTTTTCGGCAAACTACGATTTCATTGGTACTTTTTAGAATTTTTTGGAAGAAGATCACGATGTTATTAAATGGTGCATCCTAATGTATTTTGGGATACAATTATAACTTTACTCAAGTTTATAAAATGATAAACTCAATTGCTGTTTACAGGGATTCCCGAGTCGGACAATAAATTTTACTTGAAGCTCAAGGCAAAAGTATTGCGAATTTATGATGAGCTATGGGATTCTCTATAAACTATTAACTATTATTCTCAACTATTAAGATAGGGATGAAAAAGTTGCACCTGCAAAAGAAATACATTTTCTATGTGCGTTATCAAGTCTCGTCAAGATCCCCTGGCGAACGAATGCTTTATCGCCGCCATATTGGAATACTGGTGTCATTCTGTTTATTGAAAAATTATTATGAAGCATGTATTGGAAAGAGTCAAGACTTGAAGTCCTCTAATCAGGAAAACAACTGCACCGTTTTCGTTTCTTTTAGGGCTATTTCGTT